GTAAAAATTTTAATTTCGGGGGATTTGTTGTATGTGAAATTGAAATATTATGGAGTGGGGTGAAATTCTGATTGGCTAATTTGAATTTCACATAATTTCATTCTCACGTTCAACAGCCTGAGAAGAATTTCTCTACGAAAAAAACGAAAAAAAAATATAGGGACGGTTGTCCTATTTGTATTTTTTCGAATTAATAAAATAGACTATTGTCTTGAACTGAGTGATGTCGTTGTGTGAGTAAAAGACACGAAACTCACTGTCACATTTTCGTTTAAAAACTTGTTTTCCTAATAACCATTTCTAAATTAATTTCGAATTTTTGGTATGTCAACACTATTAGTTTTAGTAATTATGAATAATAAATTTAAAACATTGGCTATATTTATTCATAACATTATTACAGTTTCAAACAAATTATCATGTTACAATGGATTTTTGCTTCAATATAAAATTCATTGAAAAGTGATAAGTTGGTATACTTTATTATTTAATTTATTATTTTTTATTTATTATTTTTTATTTGTTATTTGTTAATTTATTTTTCATATTATTAAAAATGGAATGCGTTTTTTAGTTGACATGAAAATTATTAGGTCACTTATCAGAAAAAATTTAAAAAATTTATATAATTAATTATACACATGAAACAACAATAATCACTGGGGAGTTATAAAACTAGATTTAGATACCAAGAAAATTTATTTTGGTGATTCATGATTCACGTATCTTTGCCAGCTTTCTTATCTCTCATTGAAGACATTTATAAAATAAAATACTTTGTTTATTTCTACTTTCTATAACATCTTATAAGCATGTGTTACACGAAATTAAGGCCTTCAAAATGTTTCATGTTATTTACATTACTGGCCTGAAAATGCTCATTCTTCAAGAAAAATACATCAGGAAGTGAATATTTCCTTTCACACTGTTGAACATAATTTCAAAATGCTCAAAGAATGAATACTATTGAACATAAGGGCTGTCTGATCCAAGGTTTTATATACTTTTTTTCAAAAATAATCGGATTTCTTTTATTTTAAGTTGACAAAGTTCTAGAAAATGTAATTTTATATGCGAGAATCTTCAGAACTTAAGCTACAATCTGATATAATTTTTTTGTATAATATTATGTACACTTTTGCATTAGAATAATCATTAAAAAATTTCATGTCAAATTTTTGAAGTCAAAAATTTTTGTGAGGTTTTAAAAAAAAGATGTGAATTAGCTTTACAAAAAATTGGCAATATATATTTTTTTACTCTAAATGAATCTAAACCTATTTGATTATGCTTTGCAATCGTGCAAACCCATCTTTACCTATCTTTCAATATTTGTTGAGATATGCAATTTTTTGTCACCGCCATTATTTTCATTACATACTGTATATAAAAAATTTTCCAACTCACAAATGCAACTGATTGATCAATATAAGGAGCCACATCATTATTTGTATATAATCAATCCTTTTATATAATTATTTTTACGTGTATCTCCAATTGATGGTGTAAGAAATTTAGTCAACCATAATATTATCATGTAGTTATCCACAAAAAATATCCGCAATCGCCAAATCGATTTCTAAATAAGGATAACACGCACCCAACCCACCAATAAAAATTGTACATTCTGGATATTTTTTGTGGATAACTACACGATTATAACCATAATTGTTAAAAGCAATTGGGTCTGTTTTAAGGTCTTGTAAGGCTGTATAAAGACCACCAAAATTATTCCACAACTGATGGATAATAGTTGCTTTATTTCCAGGTAAAATGTTTTCTAAATTACAATTTTTTAGAACTTTTAATTTATCTCCACACATAAGACTGGTATAATTTCAACTCTTTGAGTCTGTGTTTTGCCAAAATTCAAAATGTACACCAATTCTGAGCATTTCATTTTTTACTTGTTCCCTCATTTGGTAATCTGATCGGAAGAAGTCAACAACGTATTAGTATCGGTTAATCGGCTATTGATAGCTGATAAAATTTTTCTGATATAAAAAATTTTTTCTGAGGGCATCACTTTCTAATACGAAAATGATCTTTGAGATTCAGCCGATTAATCTATAAATAAAAATCCAGTTGTTGTCCCTGTGGTTTTTGTAAAATCCTTTTTAAAAGTTGGTCGATTGACTGTTTTTACTTTGCTGATCGTTAAATTGACCAATAAGAATGATCAAAATTTTAATTTGTGTTACCATTAAAGAATACTCTGACCGTTTAAGAGATAATTTGAAATCATTTGTTTCTTAATATTAATACAAGTAGAGATGTGCTATGTGCATTATACGGCACATTATGTGATGCGCATGATAAAGATTTTAAATTTGTGTTATGTACCAAAAAAATTTTTTAAAATAAATAAATCAAGGGTATTTTGGTTCAAATTTTCAACCCAATGCCAAGCAACATAACAATTCTCATCTACCAATAGAACAAAGTAATATAATCACTACAAGACATTTACAAAATTCATTGATCAATAATTTTGTTGATAGAATATCTTTAGTAGAACAAGCTGAAGCTAAGCAATTTATCAATGTGGACTATTCTTATCATTACCTGAATTAGAACCAATCAAGGCTCTCTTTAAAAAAATTCATCCTTGTTTTAAATTACCTTCACAAAAAGCCTTATCAACAACATTACTTGACAACAATACAAAAAATGAAGTAGACAATATAATAAATTCAGCAGATTATATTTGTTTAGTAATAAATAAAATAAATAAGTATAATATTTTTTAATAAAACCTTGCATTTTGCCATCCTAATCACAATAAACATATGTTTTATTACATCTTTAAGCTAAAACCATGAAAATAATTTTATGATTTATTACAATGGATGTTTTTTAAAAATCATTAATGCACATAATGCGCACAATAAAATCCCTAAATACAAGTGATAGTCAATTTATTAAAAAGCTTTATTTGTAATGATATTTGTTTTAAATGAGCAAAATTTTTTAAAGTATTTTTTTTGTTTTTTTGATGTAAAATTTTTTTTTGTTACATCAACCTCAGTCCAAAATCAATTGTATTTAAAGTTTCTCTTTGATAAAAAATAAATTTAAACATTTGTTTATTTGTTTTTTTTCATAGTTATAAATAGATCAAAGACACACTATGGCAAAAAAATTTTTGTACTGATTGTGTATGTCAATTCCTAAAATAAATATTTTAATATAAATATTTTATTTGTTGATCATTGCATGTACATACATTAATGTTAAAATTTAATGTTAATCCTAGAAAAACTTACAAAGTGAACATAAAATTATATATATAGGGATAAGTATATATGAAAAGTAATAAATATAATGGCTCTAATGAATATCAAAAAGCAATTGATTTTTTAGAAAAGGTTGTAAATGTGGTTGTTCTTCAATGGTTCCCAAAGAAGAATTTGCAGAATTAAGAGAATCCTTTCAGGCTCTTTCCAAATCTGAACAAGACATATTTTTAATGGCCCAACTTAAAGCAATGGATGGTGGATCAATAAGCACTAGCAGACACCTTAAAAAGAAAACCAGATCTAATAAAAGAACTTTCTATCATTGGGATCACAATACACTCCTTTGTCAAGAAACTTATCTTAATATGTTAGGAATTGGCAGGACTTATTTTGAAAGTATTAGAAATCACCTGATAAATAATGGCCTTCTACCAAGAATTCATGGTAATATTAAAAGAATGCCTCAATGAAAGACTAAAATGGTAATTGATAAAAATGTTGCAGAAATAGTAAAGAATTTTATAGAAAATTATGCAGAAGTTCATGGATTACCAAGTCCAGGAAGAAGTATCAATAGAATAACCCAATCAATTGTATTCTTACCAGCTGAAATGAGTTACAAATCAGTGTATAGAGATTTTCTAGCTGGTCTGGAGGAAGATAGTAATTTGAAATCCTTAAAATATGATGCCTTCAGGAAGTTATGACATCAATTAACACCAGAAATTCAAATTATGAGTCCCAGGACTGACTTATGTGATACTTGTCAACATTTTAGAGATGGTTTACATTACAATGCTCGCCAAGAAGAAGAAGCCAAAGAATTACTTAAAAGATTTAAAGAACATCTGTCTAAGGCCAAATTAGAAAGAAATTATTATAATAAAAATACCAAATTGGCAGAAGAACAAAGAAAATTAGTTAATCAGAATTATTCCAAGGGTAAAACACAATATTGTAGTATTGATGCTACTGCTCATTATAGTTATGATTGAGCCCAAAATGTTCATGTGCCACATTTAGATCAACAAGTAAGTAAAATTTATTATCTTAGTCCATGTAAAGTTCATTTATTTGGTATTCAAGATGAAGCAGTAAGGGAACAAATTAATTATGTTCTTAATGAAGATGAAATTATAGGAAAAGGACCCAATGGCACTCTTAGCATGATTTTTGATGGAATTAAGAAATTGAATAAAGGTGAAAAGCATTTAAAGATTACTTGTGATAATGCTGGAGGACAAAATAAAAACAATGTAACAATTTGGTTTTACTTGTATTTAGTAATTTGTGGTTATTATGAAAGTATTGAATTAAATTTCATGATTCCTGGACATACCAAATTCAAATGTGATGGTAGTTTTGGACTGATTAAAAAACTTTACAGCAAAACAAGAGTAGATTGTCTAGATCATGTGGTTGAGGTGATAAAAAAGTCTAGTCCAGCAGGATTGAATAAAGCTCAATGTTATGAAGGTGGAAAAGGTTTTCAATACTTAGATATTAAAGCTATTTTGGGAATTTATTTTAAGAAATTACCAAACATCTAGAAATATCAACATTTTCTTTTTTGAAGAATCTAATCTTGGTACAGTAAAAGTTCAAGAAGTTGCTAATGGACCTTTTACTAAATTTAACTTGTTGAAAACCAAGAAAGCAGATACTTTTGAAGAAATTGAAGCTTTATCAATTTTAGTATTAACACCACCTCCTTTGGATTACAAAAGGCAAGAATATCTTTACCAAAATATTTGTCCATTTGTGAAAGATGAATACAAAGATATTACTTGTCCAAGACCATTTTATACTGGCAACAAATAAAATATTCAGAATAAAATCACTTCCATACTTTGTCACTCATTAATTTGTCTCTTGCTGTCATTAGGTTTAATAAGTTTAATCTTTTGACAAATATTGTTGGCTTTTTCCACCTTTAAAGTAAAAAGTACTAAAATAATTTATATACTTAATATATCATCATAAAAAGGATATAAGTATATTAAAAGAGCAATAAAAAAAAATAAAAATAAATATGGTAAACACAATAAATGAACTCCAAAAGAGAAATAAACAATTATTAGAAGAAATAGAACAATTAAAAGCACCTTGCAATTTAAACAGTTGAATAATGAAGAAATTAGAGCATGAATAATTACTGTTTTAAGTGAAAGTCATTACACTGACAATCCTGATGTAGATATAGTTGGTGAGATTATGAGAGTTTATTGTGACCAAGAAAAGTGGTCTCAGTTTTGTAAGTTATATCCTACTCAACCAGCTTGTAGGAATTTAATTCTTAACACCTACCAATATTATCCTTATTATAAGCAATCAAGTGTTCATTGACAGGTAAGGAATAAGGCTAAAAGAGATATCTTTATTAACCTTATCAAATTAAATTCTGAAGAAAGTAAAGAACTATTTCAAAAGTGGTTGAAAGAAGGCAAAATAGAAGATAATTCAACTCTAAAAGGAATATTGGAAAAAGGACATGAAGGATGAGATTCAATCAAACTAAGTTGTTATAATTATTATGACCTTAGAAATCTTTCTCTTGATGAGTTAGTCAATAGTTTGAATGAATTAACTTTTAAAACTAAGGAAAATTTTGATAAAGTGGCTAAACAAAATCAAGAATATGAAGAAAAGATTAAAGAGTTAGGGGCTGAGTTAGAAAAACAAGATGAAAGAATAGAGGTATTAGAAGAAAGGATAGAAATAGAACAGGAACAAGTTACGGAAGTCATAGCAATTGGTGAAAAATGAAGCAAAAATCAAGCAGAAGACATAAAGAGAAAAACAAGAAACTTGAAAGTTCTAGTGCAAAGATTTCTCATCTAGAAGCCCAAGTTGAAAAGTTAAAGGAAGAATCAAGTCAAAAGAGCAAAAAAATTAGAAAAACTAAGTAAGCAATTAACTGATAGTGAAACACAAAATGAAAATCTAAGGAATTCACTCTACTTAGATAATAAACCATTACCTGCCTTACCTAAACAGAGTATATTTAATCAATTAAAAACAGAAGCAAAAGTTAAGTTCCATAAATTACAAAGGCTAATCAAAAAGGAAAGGCTTCACAACCAAGAAATGATTGCTCAAGTAGAAGTTAAGTCTAAATAACAAGTAAGTTACAATGAGAGAACTGGAATACACAGTTTTAGAATTAGAAAAAGAAAGTAAAAAACTTGTGATTTCTGCTCTAAACTTGAGAATAGAAATAACAAATCTGTTCATCAAATAAGAGTACATAGTAAAGTAACTGGGGAATGAATTTCAGATGATGTGTTTTGTGAAAAATGTGAAGAAAAATATTGGAATGATGAATTGTCAAAATGCAATAGATGTGGTAGATTGCAAACTAAGTTAGATTTTGATATTGTTAATGGTAAGAATGTTTGCTACTGTATTAGAAACAATGAAGATTTAGAAGAGAAGGAATTTCCTCTCTTACCTCATGAAGAAATAAGTCAGTCTACTTTTTATGAAAGACAAATAAACTCCCTACAAAAACAACTAAACAAGACTGAAGAAGTCTTAGAAATTGAAAGGGAAGAAGTAATCAAATTTCAAGAAAAGTCTGAGGAATGAGGTAAGAGGCAAAAGCAAGAACTTTTGTTCACTTTGTCTGGTTTTGTTGCAGCATGCCCCATATCTATATTAAGAATGGGTAATTTTGTAATTTTTGATTCATTAATACTAAATGTAATTATTTAATTATTTTTTTAACATATAATAATTTTAGATAACCATCATTAAAAAGGCATCCAGACTTGCAACAACCATAATTACTTGTAAAAAAATTCCATGCTGTTCATATCAAGTATATTGCACACAATTATTAGAACTTAATCATATCCATTTTGTTCCATTAATTTATCTTGACAACAATGTTACATCATCATCTATAAATACATCAACAAAAAACCCTTCAAGATCAAACTTGGCAAAACAAATATATAATCAACAACTACAACAGCCACTTCCTGTTGTAGAATCATTAACTGATATTAATGATACTAATGATGATAACACTAATCATCATCATCATCATCATCTATTCCTTTTTCTTCACCACATATTGATGATACATTGACAATTACAACATCATCAAATTCAATACAACAATATTTATTTAATTAATTTCAATAATAGCAAATCTTCATCACATCATCCTTCTGTATCACAAAAAAAAATATTAAAATCATTCAACTTATTATCATGTGTTATCCACAAAAAATATACGCAATCGCCAAATCGATTTCTAAATAAGGATAACACACACCCAACCCACCAATAAAAATTGGATATTCTGAGGTTTCACGAAATTTGTGGATATTTTTTGTGGATAACTACATAATTATATTCAAATTTGCCAAAGGTCAGAAAATTTTTCTTATAAAATTTCTGTTTGTAATTCAACCAAACAATTACAAATAATTCAAATAGTAACTTTTATTTGAATAGAGACTTTAAAACAGTAAATAACAAGTAACACCAGTGACGAAGTCACTGTCATAAAGCATTCATCTAGTTTATTTATATATTTATTAAAAAAGATTATGATTATCATAAAAATAGTGTCATTTTTGACCCAATTCGTCCTGTAATAATAATTTCAGCCACCATCACTACACAAAACATAATCGTGATGTGTGTGTATGAACTAATTCAAACTTTAACCACATATAAAACTCTTTATTTATTGCATGAAAGTTTTTCAATTTTTAATGTAACATCAATGCTTCATAGCTAAAAAGGTTTTGTTAGATAATAAATTGTCATGAATCATGTTTGTACCATGAATTGAGACTTGCATCACGAATTGCATCTTGTGTCAATTGTATAAAATTATGATAGATAGTGCAATGCAATTTAATAATTTTGACCTCAAGTATAATTGGTACAGTCCAAAAAGTTTTCGGGTTTCGGGTCGGGTTCGGGTTTTTCGGTTCGGTCCCAACCAACAACCCGAACCCGAATTAGGCCCGATCCGAAAACTTTCGGTTAGCCCGGCCCGTCTCGGAGCTTTAATACTAATATTATTGGTGCGAGTAGTCAGTTTTATACATTAATAATTAATTTAGAGACAAATATTTAGACATTTGACATCAATTTAGACATTTGACATCAATTTAGACATTTGACATCAATTTAGACATTTGACATTTCAAATGTTTTGACATTATGGCAAATAAAGTGACCTTGTTGAATATATTTCAACAGTCGGAATGCATAAATGTTTGTCAACTCTATAATCCTTATAATATAGATGTATGTGTATGTTATGCAAAAACTCAATTTTGGTCAGAGAGGTCCCCTACCACATTTTCCTAGAAATCTCCCCATATAATAAACAGGATCATTTTAATTAACATGTTGTACTGGGGTGTTACAAATTATATATAATAAACACAAACATAGTTGAGCACACATAAAAAAAATCATATGTGCGGATTTTTCGCCGATCAATATATGTAAATTTTTTCAATATGAAAATTCAAACTCTATCTCC